TTCTCATTGGGGTGAGGTGGTATCTCATTGTGGTTTTAATTTGCATCTCCCTTATTACAAGTGTTGTACAAGTGATGTTGAACATTTTTCATATGCTTGTTGGCCATCGCATTTCCTCTTTAGACAAGTGTCCTTTTAGTTCTTCTGCCCATTTTTTGATGGGTTTGTTTACTTTATTTTTGTTGAGTTTCATCAGTTCTACGTATATCTTTGTGACCAATCCTTTATCACTAGTTTTGTGTGAGAAAGTTTTTTCCTAATTAGTGGGATGTAAACAGATAACATACCTGGTTAAACCCAGGTTAGAGAATCTTGAGGTATAAATGGTGAATAGAACCTTAAGCCAGTGTAATGAGTGCCAGTTTTCTCAACTGATGGGAGATATGTAGAAGAAAATATTGAGTTTTCTCTAGTAGATACATGAAGACTAGTGATCCTTTATGATTAGACTGGAAAAGTTCACATGCATACAGGATACCAAGCATTTAAGGAGAATACTAGACCTGCAGTTCCATCATAATGGATTTTTCTCAAAAAAGAAAATAGAAAAGAAAAATCTGGGTATATGTCCAAATGCTTGAACAAATACTTGATAGAAACCTAAGGATTCTACTCTACAGAGGATGATTAATGAACGTTAACAGGGTGTTTTGAGTTCAGGAGAACCAAATGCCTATCACTAACATAGATGAGCCTCATAAGTACTAAATAGATTTATTTTCAACAAATTATGCCCCGATGAACTGTGTTCTGATAAAGTAACTGTAAAATGGGGCCCTAGACACTTAATTGAGAGTAGCTGCTTAGAATTTTTTGACTAGGTACCGTGTTGCGTCTGTCGGAGATGATAAAAGGGGTTTTGTCATATTAAATAGTTAGGCATTTTCCCTGACAGTAATTAATTGGTATTTATCAACAAATATTTGTGGAAGAGATTCTGCGCATTCATTACTCAGGCTGTGATTCAATAAATAAATAAATAGACTCACCAGCTCACCAGTCTTGACTTTTGGAAATTTCAGGGAAGGGATCAGTAGGGCTGCTTCTTTCCAGGAAATGTGGGAAATGGGTCAAAGAAAACTTTGCTTCATGGTCCTTCTCCAGAAGGAATTTACATGATTTCTTGAGTAAGATTTGAGTTCATATGCATGCCATGCCCCTGTGCCATCCCAAATAGTATATATTCCTAAATTTCCATCTAAATCATCCTGTTTCAGAATCTGTGACAACCCTCTTCCTATTACTATTAAGGACTTGGTGTTTATTTTCTTTGACTGGTTCTCACATTATTAATATGATTCAAATTGGATCTTAACGCTCTGCTATGAGCCTCATGTTCTGGTGTTCACACACTGGTGCTGTTGTGGGCTCATCCCAAAGACTGGCTGATACCTTCTTGCCAGTAAGAAAAAACTGCTTAATAGTAAGTCATGCAATTTCAGTATGTTAATTTATTTCAGAATTTGGTTTCCTTTCTGCTTTTAAGGCAGGTTTAACAACATATTTTCATCCTGGAATAAACTTGAAGAAAATACATTATGATAGCATCAAACTTTATGAAAAACTGGAAGAAGAGACTGGACAGGTAAATGCATTTAACTTGAAGTTATCTTTTAGGTAAGCTTCTCAGAAATATAGGAATTTCTGGAAGGATTTTGATATACATGCTGTATGGCTGAGTGTAATGACATCATTTCCTTGTGAATTGTTTAATGTGATAGAGAAATCTGATGAAAGTTTAAGGGAAGATCTTCTAGAGTTTGCTTAATTTCTTGAAATTTATTATCCCTGAATTAACTACTTTTCTTTCTTGATTTTTTTAAATGAAGGAAGACTAAACAGCGACTGTCAAAAATATTTTTAGTCAGTTACTATATTTAGAAACTAAGAAAGCATGTCCTTTCATCATTTGGATTGTAAAGGAGCTGACAATGTTGTACGCCTGCCAGATTGTCATACAACACTGAAAAAGACTTCACTAGAAGTCCCCACTTTTATTTTTTATCTCTTTTCATATTTATTGGAACCCTCAAAGTGACAGGCAAAGAGTGCCTGAAGACTAAGATGGGAGTCTCTTAAATATTTCATACTGTTTCCCTGGCCCTAAATCATCAAATGGCTCCCCACAGTCTATAGGACAACCGCCAAAGAAGGAGAACCTTCAGCTGAAACCTGCCTGCATTTCCAACATCTTCTCTAGCTACTCTTTGCTGTGGTCACAAGATGCAGCTAGTTTTAATTACCCATAGCTCTGAAAGGTGCTATGTTCTTTGACAGAAACAATATGCCCTCCAGTATCCATCTTAGTATAAACCCTTCACCTTCCCAGGTTAGCCCACTTTGAGAAGCCAACTTGACTTCACCACCTGCCGTCAGGCTAAGCTGGGGGTATATGTCTTTGTTCTAAGATTTCTGTGCATCTCTCATGTGGTTGTTGCTTCACTGGTCCTCCCTATAAATTATGAGGTATAATTTATGAATGCAGGAACTAGAGTACAGCCCAGAGGTGCGGGGGTGAGAGGATTTACCAGAGACAGAGTGGGGATTAGACAGGCAGATCGACTAAAATACACTGCTGAGGGGAGCAGCGGGCATGATAGAAGTGTGCAGAACCATGTGGGTCACCTCCCTGGCTGGGGATCAAACTTGTGCTGCAATTGCTGTAGATAGCTTCATATATTGCTGTACTTTAACCTGTTGTGTCACCAGGGAGGGCCCATTTTTTATGTGATTTTCTTATACACAGACCCATGTTATTGTGATTAGGCATATAGCTATCTGCATTCATCTGTAGACTGTAAACTCCATCCAGGTGGCATCTTTGCTTCCCTTGTTCATTCTGGTGCCCTTAGGGCTTAGTGTAGTGTCTGTCACAGAGGCAGTACTTAATAAATGAGTTGCTGAATGTTGTCTTTTCATAAGATACAAATATGTTATATAGTTGGCTCTTTCACTGTACAGTCAATTTTTCTTCTGAACAGC